CACCATCATTACAGCAACTTAAAGGAGCATTGCTTTGCTTTTCGTAAGTAAAGGAACATCAGAAATTGCAATGCATATGATTTGACTTTCAAATTAGACAGCCCAGCTCAGACAGCGACTTCGAAAGGCAGAAAGTTGGTGAGAAACTGCTTATTACTCAGTGATGCTCAACGCTGCACATTGTAAAAACTTGAACATATTAGTCAAAGTGTCACCTTTGAGCTCCTACAGTTGATGAATGAGCTCACTTCTATAATATATGCACTTTATACTTAGTTAGTGACTTATTTAATGTATTAGATTGCCAATTCTAAATTCTAATACTGGCTTCACCAACTCTTTCTTTAAAAAGAAAAACTGACAAAAACTAAACAGAAACTATATATGCATTTTTAAGCATAGAGTTACATGAAAACATACTGGATACATGTTGAATACAACTTGATGGTTTTCCTCGCTGAAAAGATCAAAGGGAATGGTGCTTATATTGCTTTTTGAAAAGTAATTAGAACAGATTAGAGCCCCAACGCGATTATCATTTTTTTTTTTGATAATTCATTACTGAATATGTTAAGCTGCGTTGACATTGAAGATAAGAGCCTCAGATGATTGTCATTGACAAAGGGAGGACAAGTGAAGAGTTTCCACCTGTGCATAAGTCTCTAATTTGTAGCTGCAAAATAGAAATTCCCTCCAACCACACTGCGACAGCCATAATTTCCATATTAATGGCTGGTAATTGCTACAGACCATTAAGTTATTACTCACTAATAACATTTGTATAATTTGCGGGAAAATGTGTCCCATCTAACCAGATATTCAGATAGCTTACTAAAAATAAACAAACAAACAAATAAAAAGGCCTCTGAGACAAACCTGCAAACGCAACAAAAACAGATGCTTCGTACTCAGCAGGAAGAAAAAAAGCAAGCTGAAGCAAAACTTGTCTGACCTCACCTCCTTTCTAACCACAGGGGCCGACAGAGAGCCCCGCTTCCGGCGACAAACCACACACAAAAAGTTCTGTTAAAAACAAAAATGATTTTTATTTATTTATTTTTTATCTCCCTCCACTTGATATCATTTTTAACTCCACTTCATGGATTTTGAAAAAAAAAAAATAGAAGGAAAGAAATACAAAAATAAATAAAAGCAGAAGAAAGGGAAAAGAAAAAAGACAACTTCAGCAAGTAAACGAATCAAAAAGAAGTATAATCATCGCTTCACAGCACTGAACATCTGTCAGGGTGGAAGACAAATGTTCTTTTCATTCTGTCTCGTGTCCTTACATTGATAAGATCATGAAAAATGTAAGACACACTTGTAATTCAGGTGTGTAATCGGAACGAACCAAACAACCTGCCCTGTGGAGCTAAGAGAACGCACGTATACACACACAGATGCAGACATGCTGCATACTACTCGCGAAGGCTCTTAAATTACTCATGCTCACCGTGGAGTACAATGCACACTTGAACACTGACACTTGGGACACTTACATACACACACAACAACAGCAGAGTGGGCAAACCTGGAGCACTGAGGGGTGGGAGAGCATTTCTAGAGGTTATCGCCACACAAAAAGAAATGAGGAAAGCAAGATTAAAAGAAACTGAGAGTCTGCAGAGAGAAAAAGAAGGCGAGATGGGTTCCACATTTGACACTAACCCAAGTGTGGTCATTCCTGCAATTATACACGGTGGACTCTCCAGGTAAAAGTTGTGATTACTTTCTAAATGAGACACTTTTCCATTACATTGCAGGGAAGGCTCCTGCAGTCTGAACGCTGTTATTTCCCTCTTGATGCACATAGCACTTGACCAGTGCCAACAATATATCATGCCGCGTATGCCAGCCTGTAGCTCATCTTACACAAAACGCTCGTGTATGGTGCATCTGTAACTTCACCACAGTCTGGTGTCCCCCCTGTTTCATAACTGCAGTATAAATCAGTACAAAAACACCAGTTGGTGCTGTCACTTGTGAAAGAAATCCAAGTTTCCCCTGTCAGTTCTCAGCACCACAACCAATATTTACCCCTCGGTTGACTGACAAGGAAAATGCCAGGCGTGGGATGGTAATTCAGAGAGGCCAAGTAATGGGACTCTTTCTATGCTGGAGATGGGAGGTGGGTGACTTAATGACTAGGGGAGACATGGTGGGCGAGATGCCTCAATTGTGTTGCACAGTCCATGCGAATGTTGCTTTTGCTCAGCTGGCGGAGTGCAGCATGCTGTTAATTAGCCAGACGCTCCAGTTCTTAGAGGTAAGTGATTGACAAGGCTCCATCTGTGGCCACAGAGAGGAAGAGGGCAAACTGATCACTCTGTGGCCCAACATCTTCGCCACAAGCTGAGGTTTAAATATAAACAAAACACCTAACACTCTATCTATCTATCTATCTATCTATCTATCTATCTATCTATCTATCTATCTATCTATCTATCTATCTATCTATCTATCTATCTATCTATCTATCTATCTATCTATCTATCTATCTATCTATCTATCTATCTATCTATCTATCTATCACTTACCAATCCTGTGTACCAAGCTGTACACCAATGCATTTATTGGCTGTGCTAATGGAAAGTACTAGGCCCTAATAGACTTGCAACATTGACTTTGCCCATGAGAACTGAATGAGCCTGTAGATATTTGGTAAACAATGGATAATTAGGATAATATACTGGAATTCGGCGTGCTTTGGAGTAAAGGACATGAGCAGGGGATTTAGCACAATGAAAATCATTCATATATAATTGTTAGTCTGTATAGCGTATCCCTCTGGTGCACCGACTCTAGTGTTGTCATGCCGTCAGTTTGTCACATTATCAAATTACAGCACACATAATGTCTTATTATTGTATTGCACACAACGACACCTTATAAGTGTGTATTATTATTACATATGCCTCTAGATGTGGCTGCTAACACTGCAACTGCAAAATCTCCATGTCATATCTCATCATTACTAATAAAATACAGCAGCACTACTGCACCCAATAAATTACACGTACAGCGTAGGAAGGCTCATTTTTTACAGTTTACAGTATTTTAGGTGAAAAAAAAGAAACAACAAATACCATCTTGGATAGACATGAAAAGAAAAACAAATGATTAATTCTTCATTCCCCAGATCTGAACCGCAGCCCTGAACACATAGTTTACTGAGCTGACATTACAACTTGCGCAAATAGTTTCAGAGACGGGCTTAAAATCAATGTGCAATTAGGGGTGTCTTGTATCAGGCATGATAAATTATGCTCTCTGTTCTAAGGCTGGTCTATAGACACTTGATCAATCCAGCTTCTGGGGACCTGGTAAGGCAAGCCAGGGAGAAATTGCTCTATTCCAAAGCCATTCAGTCGAATGTATTGATTAACCATTGCGTTCTGAATTGAAAGTCTGTCCGGGATCTGTGCTATGTAGCGAGGGTGTTTGCAGAAAGGCTGCAGCTGAAACAAAGAAAGAGGTACCTGCACACGTTATTTAGGCTAACATTTATTTCACTATTCAGTCTTGAAGTACAATTATGATTTTAATATTTCACTGCAACATTTCAGGAGTGATGTGCAGTATCTGTCCTTACACCCCAGCTTGGTGCTTAATTACCTGAATCCTTTTAGCAAACAGCACAGTGCTTTGAAATGTACTTCAAAGTCATTTTTAAATCCCCTGCTCTTAAAACAAATTTATAACTCTGTAAAAAAAACTGATGAAAAAAACAACACAACTACAAACATAAAATCCATCAGATAAGATACTACTATATAATATACTGTAAAATGGCAGTAGTTGCTAGTTCTGTGAGATGAGGTTTGTGAGAACAGTTTGATGGCGCCACATTAAATAAAAAAAAGATTCTGTAAACAGATCATCACAACCTTCAGCTACAGGAGCCAATCAACACTTTCTCATCAGGGTGCAGTGAATGTAATTAGGGGCTCAGGAAACGTCTTGTTTATATCACTGTAAACTCATTGAACCCCAGTTGGGTGTTATTTATCCACTTGAAGTAGGCCAGGCTGTGTTTGTGATGAAGGCTATGTTAATTCTATTCATATTACATAGTGCAACCATAAATAGTGTGGTACACCTTCCCCTGGGAAAGACCACAGCTCTCATATTTGGAAATGCAATATGAGTGCCTGTCTGTCTTCTTTCCCTAAATGGAGAGCTCACTGTCTGGTTAGTGTCATCCCATCTCCCTCTGGCTCTCAGCTTTTGGATTTACATTGTCAGGCTATCCTCCCACTGGTCCATGAGACCGGGTGCTCTCCCAACAGCCTCCTCATCCACCCTCAGATTGTTGCACCCAGGGGATCTGCTGTGTTCTTACTAACACCCTCTCCTTCTGCGACACTACAAGTGGGACTTGTTTACAGTACTGTGCAAAGGTTTTAACAGATGTGCTTTAGATGTTCTGATTGTTATCCATCACATACCAATCAGGGTGGCTTCAGATGCAGCCAGAGTCGGAGAAAATCCCGTAAGAAAAGCTGTGACTCCCGCCGATTGCACATTTCAATGAGGTTACACAAAACGACAGCAGGCACACAGGCCACAGTTCATTTGATGTTTAGAACACTGCAAAAAGCGTGAACTGGTAGAGGAACTGATGGGTCTTAAAAGCACACAGTGGTCTCGTGAAATATTCAGTTTTTTTTAGTAATTTCTAGTAACTAAAATTTGTATGATCAATAGAACACTTAAAACCTTTGCACAGCACCGCGCATACATCATGACGCATGGAATTGTGTGCTTTTGCAGATTGTTTTTATACACATTCTCACATTCAGTTTAACCCACTCCACGGCAGGTGATATTCCCCGTTTTCCCCCGCGTTTACCCTTTACCCACAGACCTCAACAAAACAGACTATTTGCTTGTTTTTCTTTTTCTTTCTTTTTTTTTTCAAAATCCATCCACACACAAATATTGACGTGCTTTTTCAAACCCACACTGAGAAACATGACAGTATGTTATTTTTTATCCACTTTTTTTTTTTCTTCTGTTTCTTTTTTTTTTTTTTTGTTTTTCTTTTTTCTTCATCAAGGACAGATTATGTACATAGAGATGTTATACGCCACTGAAAAATCCAGCGGAACGCTTACATGGAACAAAAAAAACGGTAAGTGATAAAACTAAAAACAAAAGCATAAGAGGCATGTAGATAGTGACAGGAGACAGGAAAAAATAAGAAACACTGACCAAATGACCTGCTCTTGTGCTTGAAATGGAACCCGTCGTTGTTTATGAAGCAACAAGATGCATGCACAACGGGCGTTTTGTCACGCAGACGACCCAAATACATTGCAGCGGGCAAGACTTTTGAGAACAACATGTATTGTAATGTTTTAGAATAAGGGCCATTTAAACAGAGCTTCACAATCATTTCAGAGTACTGTACACAATAAAAGTACAACAACAGACTTATTTGATTTACCTTGTTAATGGCAGATTTTCAGATATTACACCACAGCTTTAACCATGACTGACATCTCTTGCACAGTAGAATTAGGGGTTATTGCTGGCTTGAACCAAAAATTTGAGTAAAATAACAAATAAATAAAAGAAAAAAACACACACACATTCAGACATTTGATTCAATATCGAGTAATTCCTCTTTCATGTCGGTGTAGTCAGGGCTCAGCCAGGGAGATGTTCAGGCTCGTTATGGCAAATTTGCATATAGTCTCTGCATGTGAGTGGAACAGTGCTTTAGGAGAGAAAAGGGCTCTGCCATATTGAAATATATGCCTTCCTCCCACTGTTTGTGCCGTGTGGGGGAAGTGGCTGGATAATTGTGCCATGGGGGCTTGGTAGTGCCCGTGCCTGCATGTCACAGGTACACAGTGGATGGAGTACTGGTGCACCAAGGTGAGGTTGTCCTTGAAGAGGATTCCTGTCAGTTGCAGGGCTGAGCTTGATTTATAGGGGCCATAACTGGGTGGCAGGAAGGACAGGTGGAGCCCGGACTCCTTCACTTAGCCAGCCACAGGTAATGGCTAATTACATCTTTATCTCAGTGCGGTCTGGCAGAACTAGGAATGACTTACAGCCATGACCAGAGGATGACATTTATCTAGCTGGTCAAAACAGAGAAAGACACACTATGATAAGTGGAGGGATGTGCAGTAAATGTGTGTGTGAGATGCAGCTAACAGCATGACAAAAAGAGTCAAATACATAAACTGTTACAAATTATAAATTACATTATCATTCATAGCTTCTGGAGCTGGTTGAAATGATCCCTCAGAGTGTTTCAAATGTGTCTTTAAAAAGCTTGTCATGGTAAAATAGAGCACGTCACTTTGAAAACTTTACACCTTTTTTTTTGTAGTTTTGTTTTTTCGTTGTACTTGTTCAATGTGTGTGAGTAAAGTACAAAAGAACTCTTTTTTTCCCCACGCACGACTCTTTACCATCAGATTTTGTTCGTTTTTTTTTCTCACATGGAATTACTATTCATAGTTATTCAAATACTTATTAACATCATCATCGTCATCATCTGTAGTATTATTAACACCAAAAAAGTAAAAGCAGGTAACCTTGCAGAGAAAAACAGACACAGTGCAGGGAAGGAGGGAGAGGAAGGGGAGGAGGGGGGGAAGGAAGGGAGTGTAGAGGGAGTATGGACTCACAACAGGAACATCTCTAACCGGTACATGCTATCAACAAGCGACAAAGAGGATGGAGCCTCAGCTTTTGAAACAGAAGATATTGTTGTCAGTGGACAGTCTCTTGCTGCTTCAGAACACTAGAGCGTAGTCGAGGCTTCTGGGAGGCAACTTGAAGTCGCCAGCATGGCCTCTGTACTGCATATATTTACACTGGGTGGGAAGCGTAGGGAGGGAGGGAGGGAGGAGGAGACATAGAGCAGAGAACACTACAGCGATGCGAGGGGGGACTAGACAGAGCACGCTGAACAGAGGGGTAGTCGGGTAGCTAAAAAGGTTTGGGTAGTGAGCGAGTCTACATGCGAAACCTTAATATAAACTCCCCAAATTACATAGAGGGGTAGTTAAGACTGACGCCATCACCACCCAGCCGTTTTTTTAAAATACATTTTGACATCATTCATAGCAGTTTTTCTGCTACACAGTTAAAAATCAAAAAAACATACGTATGTGTGTGTGAGTATGTAAGGTGTGAGATCAAAGGGTGACAATTCACACAGCCACCAACTGGACAATTTTTAAAAAGGGCACATGACCGCCAGTGCCATATCATAATGCATCATTATCATCATATAATTTCATTAAATATCCACCGTAACATTGTGATTTCACGTATAATTTCCATAAGGCAAACATTGTAGGTCAGTCAATAGTCTATGTAATATATTACATAAATGATCTTCCGCTTGTTAGATAATCTATTTTGTTGTTGATCACTAACACAATTATCTTTAATATACACTCTCTATTAACATCAGCCCAGTGGTAATAATGGGAAAAACAAAGAGGCTAAGTACCAAGTCAGAGAAATCTGCAAGGCATTCTGGGAAACAAAAGGAAAGACTGTACGTGTGTGAGGGAAAGAGTGAGAGAAAGAGATAATGAGTGTGAGCTGACCTTAAAATTCAATTGAGGGCGCTGGGTGGGGGTGGGGGATTGGGCGGGTGGGGTGAGGTGATGGGGGGAGTTTTGTGTTTGATGCAATGATTCAATGGCTCCTGGAATAATGCATATTCTTTTTGTTCACAGTGATGGGTTCGCAATTAAAGAATTTCATTTCCGTTTTCCTTCCGTTGAGTGGGAGAGAGGGCGGGGAGGGAGAGGTGGGGTGCTCAGGGACGTTTCCAGGTGGAGTTTGATCATTACACCTTCAGCAGAAGAGCAGCAGAGAGGGAAACCCAAACACACACGATGACACTTATCCCTGCGTGTAAACCGGTCCCTCGCCCCTGTAGGGCCCCCGGTCCTGGACAGAGAGAATGGAAAGAAGAGGAGAGGGGAGCACAGGGGGGCAGCGGGGAAACGCATTGTTAAAAACACAAAGAACGCTACAACCACCGGTATAAATGAGGAGTCTATTTCTGTGACAGCCTGTATAAATTTTTAAACATATTACAGTTAATTAACAGAATTAATTCTGATACTCTGGCATAATTACTGTAAACAATGTGTTTTACATTAGGGAAATGGTGTTTCTTGAAATATGAACTACATTTCCTATTTTCTAAGTGCTAGGAAAAGGCGGGGGGGGGGGGGGGGGGGGGGGGGGGGGTGTATTTGTTTTTGCGATGAAACAGCCGAGCTTTTGGTCTCATTTGATATCACTGTGTACTTAGTAGGGAAATGGTAATCAGCACGTATTACTGTGCAAAAGTTTTGATCCACCCCTCTGACCCCTACCTGGCTATTTTCAGGAGAATGGTTTTTTGTTGTTGTTGTTTTTTTGTTAAGCCAACTGTGAGCCCTGACCTCTGAACCATTCAAGCACAACTAAAGCTGCCTAACTGTGTCTTTAGGCACTTTTTTAGTAGCAGCCTGTTGATAAAGCATAACTCTTTATGTAGTTCAACGTTTTAGACAACATAGATCGAAAGACATAAAATAGTATTTTTGCACTAATAAGGTGATTAACAAAGAGCTATTAAGTAAAATCTTGATATAGTGTGCAGTGTGTTCTTAAAAAATCTGAGGAAACTGGAAAAGTAGAGGACAAAAGGGTAAGTGACTGAACAGTAACTGAGAGCCACGTCCTCAAGAAATAGGAAAAATCCATCAAAGACTCGACATAGAAACTGAGAGAATGTTTGGTTGAAATATCTACACAGGAAGTGAGTTCAAAACACACTGTTAGCCAGTGGTGTTGGAGAGCTTGTGAATGCTGATGGAATTACGAACACTGAAAAGTACCATCAGATTTTGAGCAAACATGCAATCCATCTTGAAAGTGTCTGATTTTCAGCGTGGCAATGATACCAAACACACTGGCAAAAGAGTAAAAGAATACCTGGATAGAAAACACACAATCGAGTACTATCAGTTGTGGACCTTGACGTTCCTGAAGGGTCATTTTCACAGAGAACGGAATAAAAAGCAGCCAACATCCAAAGAAGAGCTTTGAATGTCCTTCAAGAACCCTGGAGAACTGTTCTTTAAGACTACTCAAAGAAATGACAAAAAAAAACTTGCTTAAGAGAATTCAGGCTGTGTTTAAAAGTAAAGGTGGTTTTACCAAATACTGACTTTCAAGGTTGTTACAATTTTACTCTAACAATGTAGTTCGTGCCTTATATACTGTATTCACATTTATATTTGCATGTTTCAGTAAATCACTGCACCTTATCAAAAGATAAGGGGTGGGTTAATTTTAAAAGAAAGTAACGCTATTAAACCAACATTTAATATATTCAAATGACACTGAAAAGCCAGAAATGGATGCACGTTTCGTCTGATTCTGACATGTCATAACATTCATAATGAAAGGGGCATTTGAAATGAAATTTAGCAATTATTAATATTACCAGTTTGACATATCCAAATATTCACCATGAGGTCTAAATTATTACATTTCTTAATTTAGCGACACAAATATACTCAGTGTCAAGTTACAACCCATGAAAAGCTTGCATGAAACATGTTCAGGGTTGACATATTAAATGTAAATAACATTCATCACGCTTCACTCCATTTAGCCTGTCAAACAGCGAAACAGTGCAACACTGCTGGCGCTGGAAACCCACACAACGTGTGACCCAGATAAATTATTCATTTTTACACCTGTGTGTTAAAAGCAAGGGGAAAAAAGGCTATTGTGAAACTTAAGAAAGTTAAAGTGGTTCATCTGAAGTTGCAAAGCCATTAAATGCTGGAGTGATAACCTAAAACTGGATTAATAGTACAGGGACAGGCTAAGCAGGAATTCTGTTGTTGGTCCTCCAGGGTGTGTTTTGATTTATAATTTAGTCAGATTCCATCCACAGGTATCACCTCAGTGCTGCTAGGCACATGTGTTGTTTATGATAAGGTGGGCCTGAGATGGGATGTGTAGTCCTATTTTAGAGATGGATCTATGGAGCTTACACGCTGAACCACTATAGATACAGCATAACCTTATTAAAGAGGAACAGTCATGAATAAAAGTTAATACAGCAGCTTATTCAATGTAACTCAGCATACCATCAAGAATATGGTACTTGCAGTAAGGCATTGCATAATGCTTGAATGGGCAACTGTAAGAACCCTTAATTAACCCACTCTTGTGCTTTTATGTAGTCTACTAGGTTTCAAAAATCTAACCTGGTGGCTTATAAAGTATCAGTGTGAAGTGAAACCTAGTACAGACTGCCAATGGTCTCAGTAATGGACTCATTGGTAGGGGGTAATTATGATAATATGCCAATTTTGATGTGATAGTGGTTGTTGATGTTAAAATGCTGCATGTGGCACCTTTAAATGCTGAAACAATCTGTATGAAAGCAGGGAAAGAAAGTCAGGGAAGGCAATGACAGTGAGGGACAGGGTATGAATAGAAATGCCACAAAGGTATCCGATTATGCTGCGATTTTCTGTGCCCGGTCCAGAACAGAAAGGAGTTTGTTGTGTTCTAATGATGGCAGGAGGAGATTAGGAAGGAAAAAGGAGGCAGAAGGACAGATGATGGAGAGATAGGCTGACAGAAGTGGCAGCGGTGGTGGAAAAAGAGAGCAGGAAGATATATGGGTCTGACGGAGGAGTGAGTCATTGAAGGGAGACTGGCCGAGATAATGGGCACGGGAATGAAAGAAGAAAGGGGATAGATGAAGGACTCACTTAAGATGGTAATGCTGAATGCACCAAAGGGGGGGTGGGGGGTGTCGGGAAATGGAAGGGTAGGAAATCGCTCATTGGGGACGGTTAATGTGAATTGGGCTCCGAGAGAAATGACAACTTCTTGGGTAACGGGACAGAGTCGAGCGACAGTCTGTGTGTGTGCGTGCAGACGGGAATGTGTACGGACGAGAGACGGAGAGTTTGAAGGAACTCGGGGAAGAGAGATGGTAATATACGCAAGCAAAGCTTTAATGGGGCGGAGAATAACGAAAATGGGAAGAAGGAGGCAGGAAGAGGCTGTGAAAATGCTGTGCTGTGTGCAGAGCGTAAACAGAGTGGGCGAAGAGGGAAAAACAGTATGTCATTGCATATAATTTTGTGGTAGTGGGTCATGCGTGTTTCAAGTCTTGCACGATGATTGATGTCAAACGTAAGTGTATTTTTGAAATCTCTTTGCTGTGTGCTGTGTGCTGAAGCCCCTGCGTTTAGTTAGTCGTGTGTGATAACTTACTAAACAGCAGCATACTGGCGTTGGAAGCCCCCAGACGGTTTGAGGCAAAGCAGGTGTAGTTGCCAAAATGTTTCTCTGTCACATTGGTGAATAGCAACAGCGAGCGTGTCTTCTCATTTTTGATCCTTAGGGTGTTGTCACTCTCTACCGGCCTGGGTAGCCATCGTGCAGTAACAAAAGCAAAGGGAGAAAGTAGAAAGGAAAGACAAGAAAATTGGTGACAGAAAATAACATCACACTCGAGTCAGTGTGAACAAGAAACTTTTTGCTCAGAGAGACGAACGTGCAAAATAGCCCTCATCTCTATGTTCTGTCTCACCTTGTAGTCTCAGCCCATAAATGACTGATACCTCCTATTGGGGCCTATTATACTCTATTAACAACTCTCTCTGGCTAGCAAAGCCTTGTCTAAGTACTTCTGTGTCGTGCTTCGCCTGATGCCAAATCACCCTGACTCCTCTACGCTCTCTGGGACCTTTTACAAACTTGGAGGGGCAGTTTATGTGTCTGTAATATAGAGGAAATATGTTGCCAACAAGCTAATATTTCTCCGGAGATGGCAATATATACATGATTATCTCAGATATATACTAATGCCAGAGGTTAGGTACATCAGCAGCAGCCAAAACCACATCTACAGTACATGGCTGAAAAATGAATTCTCTGTCTGAAAATGTTCAATTTGAACCATTCTCTTATGAGAATGAAGACACAAAATTACCCAAATTTTATGAATAATGTTTCCTTATTCTGGGGGTTTTAAAACAAAAATGCAAAAGAAGATGAATACATTATTGAGTTTTAAATGGCTAAATCTGTTTTCTTTCTCCCCCCTCTTCTCTAACCTGCTGCGCACTGGATGGATTTTAATAATCCTCAAGTCACATTTTAATTATTGCATTTTTTTTTTTTGTTACTGTTTATCGACAGATGGTTAAAAAGAAACAGTGGTTTGGCTGTGGCTTATAATTACTCCCTCTAACCAGACAAACTGTTACTTTTGTGGCGCTGCACTGAGTTGTCAACCAATCAAATCAATGCCACAAAACAAAAACACGAGTTAATGACACCTGCAAGTTGTTTGCTTAACATAACCCCTTGGGGAAAAGCATTTTCTATAAAGCTTCAACTCATGTATATATATATAAAAAAGGATATTTTAAATGTGGATCATAGATCGTATGTAAAAGATGGAGATGAGCAACCATGAGTTTACCCACTCGTGTGTGGGTTTAGGTTGTGAAACAGGACATGACTAAATCTGCATGAGAGCTGAAGTTCCCCTCAGGCATTTGCAGCCAACGCTAGCGATGTCTTTCTAGCTTGATAAGCAGGGCGCACCTGTAATTCACTGTGATATTAAATGGAATGCTGATTTGGCGAGCAAATATCAGGCTTCAAACAGGTACACCTGCCTCAACCAGCGTATACGTGATCTTCGCCCAGTCTGCCTATTCCGTGTAAGTAGAACAGTACCAAATGTTATAACTGAAAGATTCAGGAGGCTTCATAGCAGACAAATTGGCACCTAAATTGACAGTGTTCTCACCTATGATCATCCCTGTACCACTCAAAGGAGGCCGGCGGGACTGCCATGGCTTCACAGCGCAAGATGGCTGTCTTCCCCAAATGGGCTGGCATGTTTTTCATGTCTGTGATCATGGGAGGGTCTGGTAGAGAAGGATAGGAGAAAACACAAACAGAGAGACTGGAATGAGTAATGTGTATACATTTAGCTTCACTTCAACCAAAAAGGCAGGTCTAGCCACAAGGTTAAAAAGCACCTGCAGAGAACAAATTTAAAATGTATACATAATAAAGCATCTAAATCATTAACATATATTATTAATACATCACTGTGGACATGGAGTTCATTTTGTGCAGCGCACAGGTGGGATACTTACAGTTGACTGTGACTATGACCTTACGCTGGTCTGGAGGGGCCACACCATTGTTGGTGATACATTCGTAGTCCTGCGCCTGCTGCCTTGTGATCTCTGTGATCTCCAGGAACTCCCCCTCACGCAATGTCCCATCTATTAGGTAGAAGTCAAAGGTCACTAAAAATCATATGCAAGGTGATGCAGGCAACTGATTTAAGCTTTTTTAGCTGAGGCTAATGTCATTTGAGAGGCCAAGATGCACATATTAGATGACAACATATAATGCATTATTCAAGAACATTTACAAGAAGTGACGTTGGGCTGACCTTGGTTACTACTTAAGTTGTGGTTAACACATTCGCCCTACATGTGAAAGACTCACAGTTTGAGACCAAGATGAGACACAAAAACAGCCTCAGGGGGTCAAAACCAAGCGCTCGGCCCGAGCTTGGATAAATGGGAGGTCTGTATCAGGAAGGGCACCTGGTGTGAAATCTGACCCCATGGCAAATAAAGGAACAGCTGAATGTCCATTCTTTTATTATCAATACTCAAATGGCAACTTCCTCATGTATTTATTGTTTATCGCAATTTAGAAATATTAATTTGGATTATAGAAAAACCTCAAATAGTTAACAATGCAACAATACAGTGCATGATGATACTTATTATGAGCATTAAGGTGTGTATAATTACAAAAAAAATATTATAATTCAATTTTTATCTCCTGGCCCAAATGCTCATTTCTTCAGTTGATGTTTTCGCACATGCAAAGTAAGTAAACACAATGTGACAGCAGTGACTCTTTTACTACTTTTATACTGTCGGGGGAAATTGTAAGCTTTGCTTTCTAAGCGTTGGACACACTGGGAGGGGGGGGGGGGGGGACTGCTCATTCACCACATTACGCGGCGAGCAAGAATATTTGGCGGTTATTTGATGTTGACAAACTCCCAGGTGAACAAAAAAACAAATTAGTCAGTCTCACACTTTCAGTCTTTTTCCTTGGGCGACAAAACAGCCACAGAATCTCTTCAGAGAGGAGAGTCGAGGGGACAGGCTACAAGTTATTGCTCCTTCATGTGAGGGAATGGATGCTGTGGGTGTTATTGGTTCGACAGTGGAAAAGAGAGCGAGGGAGAAAGAGTGCAAGGAGAAGAAGAATGATAGCGAGTGTGCACCCCCTCCTCCTGTAAGCACAGCAGCCAGCTGTCTCGCAGCCTCCGAAACCATTAGGCCTTTTTTTTTTTGCCTTTACCCCATTAAAGAAGTCAGACTGTGGAACACAACATAATATATAATCTCACCACTAACAAGGAAATCCAGCTCTTAAATTGCTGCACACTTTCCCCTTTCAAAGCCCCCACCCAGTTCCCAAAACACACAAACCAAGTCACTGTCCCTTAACAAACACACAAACAGCTCCTGAGTACGTTTGAGAGGAACACCAACGCAAACACGCACACATAAAAAAGACGCTAAACGCCACGATTATTCCTGTCAGAGATTAGCGTGGCGGTTCTAATTGAAGATTATACTGGAGGATTATTAGTGCGGCTACTGAGCTGGAGACGATTATTTGCAGCTGCTGCAGCAGAGGCTGAGCAGCGAGCGACAACCGCCGTGATGGCTGCTTGTGCCACCCGGGTGAGCCGTGGTTGATGGGGTGGGGTGGGTGAGATGTTATTCACTCATTCGATTAGTCTAATAAATATTGCTCTCTTGTGACATCTCTGTCAAGCAGGCAGAGCACCCAGCTTTGCAAGGAGGAGGGAGCCGTGGCAGCGTAGAGGGAAGAAGGAGAAGAGATAAAATCAGACAACTAACACTGGAGAAATTACACACGAGGCTGTTACAGGTGACGAAAGAAATCAAAAGGACAAAGCAAAGAATAAAAAAAACCCGAGAGCAATCGAGTTATAAATTGAGAATTACAGACACAGAGTGTGGTAATTTGACAGCGATACCGTGTAAGAGACTGAAAGAGATACACAGATGTACAGATAAAGAAAAAAGGAGAGAAATGGCAACATAACGAGAGAAACAGTGACAGATGTCAGGTTGGTTATTTGATATTAGGTTTTTTTCATGGACTTTTCATCCATAGCATCTATGTATGATGTAATATCGCAAAGCAGTCCTTGCACTCCCCCTTTATTCCCCTCCCTCTCCATCCCCTGAGATCTCTGGACCTGCATTGCACACCTCTCTCCACTTTGGTGGGAGATCATATCTGAGCGGAGCCGGCCCTTGGCACTCTCACAATGGTCTGTAAAATACAGCTCCATGAACCACTTATGGCTTTTGAAGGAGCCTGACTCCTGACCACCAGAGATAGTTGGATTGCACCTTGGAAGAGACAGGGTTTGTGAATAAGAGGGGGGAAAAGGATCAAGAGTTCTGGCCCGCAACAGTGAAACCGTGCTCTATTTCCCCGGCAGCACTTTGAGCTTGACTAGACTACCAGGGCACTTGATTTCTCGGCTCCTCTTATCCATTTCCATTACAAAAACTACAGTCAAGGCAGAGTGGTCTGATGTGAGGTTAAAACAGAGATGGGTGTGCAGTCTAACAAATGATAAAACCAGTCATTCTGGTAGCATACAGCAGCTGTAATGTGTGTCAATTGATCTAAATGATACAGTAGAATTTCAAGGCCAGTGCACCCCAGTGCTTTACACGTGTATGACTAAAATTCCTCAAGAACACTTCAAATTGTTTTCCCATGTTTTTTCCTGCACTTTGGATCTGCGAAATGTTGCTTGATCAGCAATGGACTTAAATTTCAAGCTCCTTTTTGATCGTGGGATGTAAAAACAAAGGACAACCTATTAACATTTGCTACATTTCACAGTTCCCAGGTCTTTTGGGGGACTCATTAAATATTTGGAAGCAATTTTTAAAAGTTTTACTGTGTTTAGAATGAACAAATGTGCTCATAGCTGGGAAAGTATTATGATTTGAGGAAATAGATTAACAGATTGTTAAATCAAGATATAACGCAGTCCAAGTCTTGCACGTTAACACAAATCCATAAACATTTGTTTATGAAAGCACAGTGTCCGACATATATGCTTAGTGGAAACACTTCACAGTTGAAAAAATAAAGGTGTTTCTGGGAACACTGTTTGCCCACCTGTTGACTGGAAGCCATCAGACTTCTTTCCTCCTTTCCAGTTACCTAATTTCCCCACCCACCTGCACACATGCTCCTTATTCCCAAATTACATGTGCATGATAAATTGTACTCAGTATTCAGTGTTCTTGCCAACATACACAGGTCATCTGACAGTCATCTATCATCTAGTCATCTATCCTTTATTGTACCCATATAGTGTTTAAGCCTGTCGCCCATTTGGATTTGTTTCCCTCTGCTTACCGCCTTCCTGTTGCCAGCCTTCGAACTGAATTGGAGCCAAACAAACCATATTTTAATTATGACGGCACTGCTGTTGAGTTTAGCATCCCAGCCCATAGAACACCTACCAGAAATATCAAAGCCCAATCTACTGCCATCAACTGTAACTAACCTATTTATATATTCTATAAGCATACGCAACAATTATACTTATCATCCTGTCCGAGAGTTTTAGTTGGCACCAAAAGAATATCACCTTCCTTCCACAGCCATAAGCATCTATTCTAAGACTGTGTTACTGCAGGATTTAATGGATGGTACGTCAAATGATAAGCCTGGGCTGTGCTGGTGTATTTAACTGGATAAGACAAAATGCCTGTATGCCTCTGTGTGGGTCAACTGATGGATGCCAGAGAGAGTGAATGGGTGCAAAAGATTGTATCTGTGCTTCTGGTGAAGATGAAGGAGACGGCGGCTGCAAATAACAGCGCCGAGCGGTATTACTATCTGTATGTGAATAAGGAGTCTGGTAGCTGCAGACGGGACGCAAAGGGGTCAAAGACTTTTAGCATATCCCCCTAATCCCCCTCACCTTTCGGGTGGTTCTCCTCCTCCTATTCTACCACGTCTTGGTGTACTGCATACGCATTTTCTGCTCAACTTTCAACTCCTCTTCTCACTGCCCCTCCCTGCAGTTTCTCTATGCAGTCTCTGAGTAATGGGGACAGATGGCCGGCAGCTTCTTGCTGTTTCTTTGGGCTCGACCCCCCTCCTTTCTCTACCACCCCTGGTCCTCTGCAACTGATGGCTTGGTTGCAGAGACTCCTACGGAATAGCAATGTGGGCCCTATCTCTTTCTCTGCAAGCAGAGGGGTTATAGGGGGGTGGGGAAGCAGTTTGAGTTGGTGAGGTGGTTAGAGAGGGAGGATTATTGCTGAGAGAGGAGAAATGCTGTGGACTTTCAAGAGAGGACAACTGCACAGAGTTTGTGATGTGAGGTTGTGTGCGTGTTTGCTGCAGGTGTGCATTCATGCATGCTTTCCTTTTCTCCTCTATATTTTGTGTGTCTGTGGGTGTGTGTGATCACTCCTGGGTTTGTCCCTCCCTGAGGTACTGTAGTGTACTGTGTAGGTTCATAAGCACTAACTGTACAGCGAAGGACATACTGTTCACAGCATGATAACCCAGTCACAAACAGAAAGAGAGAAGGAACAGGCCTCTGAGTAAGCCCAAAGCTGTCTGTAAGTGCAGCACTACAGTAGGTTGTGCATTTATCGGCAGTATAATTACATCGTGTTCAGTAGTTGTTCACACTGACCTATTTATTACTGCTGCTTGCTACTGCATTTGATCTGTGTTGCTACAGCTGTAGTCAGGCTACAAGTTAGCCAATTCTGTTGTGTGAAAAAAAAGTCTGCAAAAAAGTGCTGAAACCAACAATAAAAAATGAAAAACTGTAAAATAATGATCCTTATTGCTTCGCAGCTTCCTATTATATTCATCTGTCAAAGGATATTATGAAACTTTCTAGCACACATGCTGATATTATAAACAAGAAAGTTCAATTCTGATAATTCACCCATTGTCACAGAGCTCTTAAGCTTCCAGTTTATCCCACAACACAGAAACAGCAAGAAAATAAATTAACATCTCAACCTTTTCTCTGAAAACAAACAGCTGAAACTCTGAGTCATAGCACAGTGGTATATTCAGTACATAGCAATTTTCTTTATGTGTCAAACAGATGAGACAGAAACTACAAATTGCAATTTTGGCAAAAAAGTAAAAGACCAAAAAGTGAACTCTTCAATCTCTAGAGACCAGATAAAGGTTATTTGCTTGACTTTGGACATCGGCGATGACGAAAACGAGAGCTAACATGGAATAATGATGCGCTGATTAGATCAAATGGACTGACTGACTTCATCTATCAAGATGCGCTTCCTGACCACCCTGAACAAGCTCCAATTCCTCACACCAGAAGAGGTTTAAAATAGCTGATTTGGTGCCAAAAGTGGCTGTTGGCATCACGATGCTGGTTGACAAGGTGGATGAAGACAGATGCTGATGATTACGGGCGGCGCGGTGGGGATAATTACGTATAATGTGTGGTTATTTGGGACAAAACATTGGGACATGGGGAAATGCGGGAGTATGAATTTAAGATGGGGACAAACTAAACAGCTGGGTTTAAGAATGATGACACAGAAGCCAGGGATAAAGACGTGAACATGAGCTGAATGCTGATAAGCTTATAGGCTGGGAGAAAAAAAAGGCTTTAACAGGCGAATGAGTGTCAGGGATGAATGTAAAGGCAGGGAGATAAAGGTGAAGCTGTGAACATTAGATCTCTGTATGTTAAGGCAAGCAAGCACGAAGGGGTAGCTTACATTTCTGTTCTTTCCAGGTGACAGTGGGCTCAGGCCGGCCGACTGCCAGACAATAGAGGTTTACATTCTCTCCCTCGTTCACTGACACATTTTTTGAGATGTTGACGATTCTGGCTGGCACTGAAAAACAGGATCGCACCATTAAAATATGACCTCGAAATACATTATTGATAAGGTACAGCTTTACATCCTATTAAGGTGTTTAACATATGATGCAAATCTCTGCAGCTTAGACAGACACACAATCCGCTGATTAATGATCTATGCTTGAGTGTTTACTGAACTGTGCAACAATATTCTTCCTTCATTCCATTGCAGCAATCCTAAATTCCTGCAAATGGATATTACCATTTCCCTCTCTTGACACTGACTCTAGTTTTGTCTTGAAAAAGAAAGGGCACTTGCAAAAGTGGTACTGGAGGAATTTTTACTTCTACTGTTTCAGTGAGTATGACCACCCCTGAAAACCATTTTGGCCCTAACTCAAAGTGTTGGGGATGCTGTGCATGTAGTTAGTTTGATAACGAGGTGGCCCTTGAATTTAAATAGCCCATTATCATTGTTTTTAATGAGCCTGGCTCTGAGATTGCTTTTTTGTGAGACATCTACCGAAGATACTTTTCTCTATCTTGCTGGAGCTGAATACTTGCAGCAATAAAGTACAGATTGAAGTGGTGGTAAAGCTGCTCCTGCTTGATACACTGACTTGAGGGTTATTTTGTGTGTTATCAAGCAAGGGTGGGAAATGTGGGCGACTTGGAATTGAGCATTTAATTGGGTATATATGGTCATCTGTGCCAAGCTTTGGACCCTGCAGACAAGAGTGTTACTTGGCTGCAGTGTGATGTGAAATCTCCAGCAAAGCAGATGACATTGTCTCTGCCACCTGTGAGCTTTGAGCCAGACCTCGTGTTTTTATCCCTGTAATTTTTAACCTAATATATCCTATTAAAAGTTTTTGGTCTCAATCTGCTGGTGATGTATGGCTACATTTTGCACTCCGTAGCCCCAAAATATGCATACAATCTGACACATGCAGGGGGAAAAGGCCTTAGATCCATCCTCCAGGCAGTCCTGCATCGATACATCATGTCACTAAGGATCAGTCACACACTCACTCACTTAGCTGCTGACTTGATGACTGAGCTCCAGTCGAGGTCCAGTACTGTCAGTTATTTAGTCAGGCACTTGGACAGCCTCCTGTGTACCTCATCTACTCAACATACAGGCTCATCCATCTGATCTGCCTAACTTTCTGTTTATAAAGACAAGTAATCTTAACAGCCCATATGAAAATAACAAATGGGCTCATCTGTCACTGCACTAGTCTTCTGTCACTGTAGCCACACACACATACACAGGCCAGCTGAGCTTTGAAGACACGAGTAATTTCACATTCATATAAATATAAATACCTTAAACACCAAGACATCATAAACATTAATGACTAAGTTGTCTATCATAGATTTTAGGTATACATTCAATCATGATTTTACAGAAAACTAATGCTGACACACACTGCCATAGAAACCATCTTAATTGCTTCCATGGAAGTCAGACTTCAATCACACCCTCCTGACAGCACTATGTTTGGATGAATAGCAAAAAGCCTAATTAAACTTTTTAATCAGATCCAGGGCAGTTTACAGTACCATGGGTGTAATATATACTTTTTTGCGGCATCACTGGCAATCAAATCTGCACTCTGGATATATTAGAGAAATTATCCAAGAGTACCAGATGCAATAAACAGCCACTTATAATAGATTCCTGTTCTGACTGAACCCAGCTGCTGACCTTGAACAATGAGGTAGACATGAACGATGCGCGGCTTGTTATTGGCCTGGAAGGTGCAGGTGTAGGGCCCCTCGTCGGTTACTTGCACCTTGTCAATATGAATGGAGAAGTCGCTGTTGTTGCTATTGACCAGCGTCACACGCCTATCCAGAGACCACTTATCTGTCCCCGTGAAAAGGATATTAGAGCGGTTCAGCCAGGCCTTGTGGGTCACCTCCTCGTCAATACGGCATCTGCGGGGAAAACAGGAAGTAATTAACAAGTGTAATATAAACAGTATATCTTCTGCTTCTCTCGGCTGCTCTCTTTAGGGGTCACCGCAGCGAATCATATCCATCTCACCCTACCCCTAGCATCCTCTTCCATCACACCAGCCGTCCACACGTCCTCCTTCAAAACATCCACGAACTTTCTCTGTGGTCGTGCTCTTTTTTCCTGTCTGGCAGCTCTATATTCAGGATTGTTTGTCCCATCCACTATCTCTTCCCTGCACATGTCCAAACCATCTCAGCCTTGCTTCTGCGATGCTTTGTTTCCAAACTGCTCAACCTAAGCTGTCCATTTGATGTACCCATTTCTAACCCTGTCCATCCTGGTCACGCTTAACAAAAAATTTTAACATCTTCAGCTCTGCCACCTCCAGCTTGGCCTCCTGTCTTTTTGTAAGTGGCACCGTCTCCAAACCATACATCATAGCAGGTCTGACTACCAGCTTGTAAACCTCACCTTTCGCTTTTGCCGCTATCCTTCTGTCAGAAATCACCAAGACATTTGTCTCCACCCACTTCACCTTGCCTGCACTCTCTTCTTCACCTCTCTTGTCCACTGTCACTTGCCTTGGATGGCTGATCCCACATATTTAAACCTGCTGAAATATTTCATTGGTGTAGGTGAAAGCTGGTAAATTTAATAACACACACACACACACACACACACACACACACACACACACACACACACACACACACACACACACACACACACACACACACACACACACACACACATATATCTATCTATAGCTATCTATATAAAACACATGCTCATTTCAAGCTCCACATGTTTAATCCTGGACTATAACAGATCCTTACTTATCTGCTCTGGCTGCTGCCCTTCACTTCATCCTTGTAAACAGAGTTGTTTTAGCTCATGTTCTCCTCCCTTTAGACCCATTTCTTCTGACTGGCTGCCCTTTGCAAACGGTTCAAATAGGAGATGGGTGGGACTTATGTGCTCAAAGAGTTATGCCCCTGATGACCATATTAGGCATATCCTCTCTTTTAGTACAGTGTTAAGCATCGACGAGCCACCAGAGCAGCCTGCACATTACAGCTGAATGTGTGCTTCAGTCTTTGAGTTTTAGTAAAAGAAACAACAGTCTCTTAAAATAGTACCTCTTCTGGTGTTTTCATAATGATAGTGAGCGCTGATTGTTCAATTAGGTGGAAAGACTGTGACTGCCAAGGCTATAGCCTATGAGTCACCTCATTATCATACTCATCAATCCATTAAGTAACTGTAGGCTATGTAACTGTATTTGTTATGTTTCTCCATTCAATACCATAGGCTTCTTTTACTTGTACTTTTATTGGATTTGTCTGTAAACTCTTTTAATGGTATTATAAATAAAACAGCTTGTTAGCAACACATTACTACAAAAAGCGGTTGTAAATTATTAGTTACAGTTTAGTTACATTGTTTTTCTCTGGAAGAAAACTTTAAATACAGTCTAAAACACACACTCTTTAAGTCTTGATGTAAGCCTGTTGGCATGTTTGAGTAAAAGCGGCTGAAATTCTGAGGCATGGTGCAGAAGAGGTGTAAGGTGCCAAAGGTGAGACTTGGCTTGACCTGGCTTGGCCACTAGATGTCCTTACCCAGCTTCAACTGTTGTCTTTATGTTTAACTGACTTGATCTAGATAAATTTTAACTAAAGTAAATCTTAGATCACTTGCCAGGCCAGCAATGGTAGCACCATAATAGAAAAAACCCCATAAAACAGGTAAACCTGAAAGCTATTAACCAATGCCCTAGAAGACATGTGCGAATGTTCGTGTTCCTAGCAGGTAGAGGAATAAAGGAAGAGAAATAATTAAGACTAAATTATGCTTAGTTTTCTGTTTGTGCATTGTGTGCTTGAATTGAGAAAGAATACATCATAAAAATTCATTATCTGTGTACAAACGCTCTATTAATCTATTTTTAAAATTAATCACTTCTGCACTGATGATGTTGCTAGAGGACTGCAAGCCCAGAGGAAATGAGCACCATAATAGCATCAAATGCGCCTCATCTTAATGGCCCGCATCAAAGCCAACAAAACAGCATTGTCTCAAGCATAACACAAGTATTTGTGCCACTTGGGCACAAGTGATTTTACATTAAAATGTAGTTTATTTATAAAGCTCTTTAGTCTTTTGTATGACAGATATTTGCTGACCGGCACAGACTAAACTTGCACACACATTTCAGAAAGAAACATGCCTTCACAGCCCCACTGTCGAAGCTTTTAAACCCTCTAATTAACATTGGGACCATTCGGTTAATTTGAAACCTTGGTTCTCTGATTGAGAGGCTATTTCGCCACTTCCTTACATATTCCATATGTACAGGGAATTACCTCGGCCCCCAGGCCATGGCTAGTTGATACTTCTTTAAGACACTCCGGCTAGGCCAGCCACGACCCACAGCTTACGTATAAAACAGCTCTGCAGACATGAAACCAGTACAGGTATAATCGGAATGTGTCTCCAAGCAGCCTGAGGCTGGACAGTCTCTCCTTCCGAGAACCAACATTACAAAATAACCAAACGTTCTTTATCATGTCAAGACTATCTCTCAACTTCGTTATTCCCCATGTACGGGGTAACTCTCTAAGATACCCTGTGAAGTGACAGTGCAACCCACACCCAATCACCGGGTGTTGCATGTTATCTGTTAGAATAAGCCAAAGCTCTTGAGCCACCCCTCATTTGTTTATAGTTTTTAAGACAATGGGAAACGTGAAAATATAAATGGAAATACAGTATACTGTATAATGAACTTCTAATGAGTTTGAAAGCCAATATTTGGTATGACCACCTTTATCCTTTAACACATCCTGAAGTATCTTAGGCAAGCTTTCAAGTAAGTTCTTTAACTAGTCTTCAGGAATAGTTCACCAGGCTTCTCGAAGGACTTTCCAAAACTCTTCTTTGGCTGTTGGCTGTCTTTTGTTCTGCACTGTGTCAAAATGATCCCATACTGCTTGAAATGAAATATAATGTTAAGGTCCGGGCTCTTGGGAGTCTAATCCATGAATGATAGTGTTCCATTGTGTGTGTTTTTTTTATCCAGGTATTCACTCCACTGGCTGTGTTCATGATTATTATCATCCTCAAAAATGGAGGTGCTCCCAATTAAACGCCTTCCAATGGTATTGCATGGTTGATCAAAATCTGATGGCATTTTTCTGAGTTTATAATTCCATCATTTTGACATGATACCCAACACCACTGACTGAAATGTAGCCCCACACTATGACTGAGCATCCACTGTGATGGCTTTCAACATTCATCGCTGTATCTCTCTCCTGACCTCCTCTGTACATATTAACAGTAACTTGAACCCCAAAATTTCCAATCTGGATTTATCACTGCGTCAAACCTGTTGCCACTTATTTTCAGTCCAGTTCTTGAGTAATTTGGCACACCTCAGATGTTTCTCTCTCAGCCTTTTCCTCTTGTTTCCATTCCTTAAGAATGGCTTTTTGGCAGCCACCTTTCCACCGAGACCATTTTTGATGAGGCTTCAGTGAACAGTAGATGGATCAACCACTTGCCAAATGCATCTCTCAGGTCCTGTGTCAGGTCTTTGCTGAATTTGTTCTAATTTCTTAAGGACATGACTTTCAGATACTGGTTATCTGCTGCACATAGTATTTTAGGCCTGCCACTTTTGTCCTCTACTCGTCCAGTTTCCTTAATTTTTTAAAGACACACTGCACACTAGGCTGAGATATGTCATATTGTTTGGCTAATAGCTCTGTGAGAATCACTTTGTTGGTGCAAAAAAACTATTTTACGCCTGTCAAACTCTGCTTTCTGTGGCATTTTTCATAGTTTCAACTAAGAAATGAGAACAAATTATGTGTTTTTGCAACAGGCTGCTAGTAACAAAGTGCCTCAAAATTGGTTCTACGTTGTTCTGTAAAGACACAATACTGGCTTATCCCTTGATGTAGGTTCTTCTTCTACAGATAACTGATTCATAGGTCATTAACTGACTTAACAAATAAATATACGATAAATATATAAATACATTAAAAACAAACAAACAATAAAACCTTTCTTTGAAAATGTTCAAGCACAAGGACTGTAAAAAAGTAGCCAGTGTCTAAAGAAAAACTTTAAAAGACCTTGTATGAAGGAAGGAAGGGGGGGGTCAAAACAATCCTATACACATTACTTTATTTATTAATAGAACCATTAAAGTTAAATTTCCTGAAAAGAATGGGGTTTCCAGCGTTTTTCATTTAAATTTTTTAGAGAGACATTTTCATGTTAATGAAAATTGACAGAATGTACTTGGCTTCAGAATAATAGCTTTGATCTTTGTGGAAGGCCAGTCTTCTTTTAAAGGAAAAGGGAACTTGAGAATTTGCTCAGAGCTGTTGGAGATATGTAGGTTTAAAGGTGATGGAAGTAATGTTGACTTGAATTTTTTTTGGGGGGGGGCACTATTTTTCTAGCACTGCTGAGTGTACTGCCAAGCCAGATCACATCTATGCAAGGAGGAAAAAAAGCAAGTTGGCTGGGTTTTTTTTTTTTGCTTGGTTGGAAGCAGAGAAAAGCTGTGATTTCTGATTTATCACTCACAGCTAGGTAGTGGTGGTTGGATGCAGTGAGGGTCCACCAACCGAGCAGGACTGGACTTCAGAAGGACTGGGTGACTCCAGTGACATTTGACAGATATTAGTCAGTTAGCTACAATAAACAGAGATGGAAGATATGGCACAGGATAGGATGCCTAATTGAAGTTATGTGACAGAGGATTGGCAATTATACTAGTGTGACAGGTGGTGGGAAGGCAAACATGTTTTTCATGTAATCAGTCAGTGCAGGTGTAGGATCAAGAGTTACCTCAAAGTAACGCTTTCGCCTTCCAGCACTGTAATGTTGTCCGGCAGGTGCCCGAATTCTGCTCCGTGCACGCTGGACCCTGCCAAGAAAAATCAGAGAAGAGTGCAATCAGCATCCAATAAAAACACCAGACACTCCGCTAGTGTTCATCTATCTCAGGTAAGATACTTAAAGATCGACCACCTCACAAAATCATTCAGGCCAGAGATGTGTCCTGCATCCTGCTTGCTCTGAAGGGAAAGTAATAAATATACTAAACAAAAGAGTCACAATGTCTGCACTGACCCCCATACTTGAATAATGATTTGGTTTTACCCTGCATTCTGGTGGGCTGCTCGTTCGTTGAACAGCACTGATAATGAGCAAAGGGAAGAGGATTCACGCGGAGCTGCCGGAGCGTGAAATGAAGGGACAGCAACGGTAACAGAAGGGATGCTCATCCTGCCTACCAATACACACACACACACACACACAAAGAAAACAGGCACATGCTTGCAGTAGCACAAACATATATTACAAACTGACACAAGAACAGACACAAATCCTGAGAGCACCTGAGTGCTTTCCTGAGTGTCTGACACGCTCAGGTACGAAGAAAAAAAAGTAAACAGTTTGAAGTCATTTCGCAAACTTTTTTGGACCGCACTCAAAGACCTTATATGCTGGCAGTGATATTGCCTACTGAGGCAAGCCGCTCCCCAGTAAGACGCCTGGCTCTGTCCATCTAAACTCTGCCAAAACACAGCATGACACTAGATATCGCGGCTTGTGTCCTCCCTCCGTCTCTGACAATCTTTTCTTCCCACTGCCTGAAAGATGACCTCAATATAGGCTTTTGCTGCTGTCTAGCCTTGAGGTTTAATAAATGGTGACTTTATGAAATGAACCTGCTGCACTGAGTTGCTAAGAAGAACCTCACGGTTTGTTAGGCAGCCACACAAATTCCACGACATGTTAAGCATGCCGTATAAGAATTTTCGAACAGATGAGACCCAAAATGAATGGCAGTGCACCACTAAATAAATGGGAAATGGGAGTTTTAAATTAAAGGAGGGTCTTTGTGAAATCATGTTTTGATTACAAAGAATAATGATAAAGGCTTCTGAATTATAAGGCACATTTTGGACCGCTAATCAAAAGGTTTTCAAACTGCAGCGCAGACAGTTGTGCTAACTGCACTACAGACTAATTTATCATCTCTTAAATAAAGACTAATTGTGCCTGTTCTCTTTGGCTTTTTGTAAATATAAGTGTGGAATAACTTCTGTGGCTGCACAATGGCAAATATAGGCTATAATCATGAATGTGTGTTCATTAAGTCATGCGTTGGCTACATGCATGTGAACCAGTGCATATGCGGCTCATTTTGCGTATAAGCAATCAGAGTGTCTAGGTTTAGGTTGCTCCTCGATGTGAATGTGTATATTTGTCTGCTGACACACCGACAGGGAACAAGAAAGGAGGATAAACTAATGACGTCTCAGAATAAAACTGGCCCTGAAAATCTCCCACTAAAAGCTGTAATCGCATTAATGGGTGCTGCTGCTACGCTATCTAGGCTGGCCAAGGATCCCAGAACTGGCTTCATCTCTCCCTTCCTCTCAGAACAGCTTAAAGGAGGGGCGTAGCGCATTAGCCATCATGTCCAGTGTTTAAAAGCTGTCTGTGGTTTTTACTCTGGAGTAGTATTGCACACCGTTGCAGTGCTTATGCTTTCCATCTAAGACTTAGATGGTCCTCAGCTCAATCCCTCAGCTGTTCCCTTTCAAGTGCTCTATACTCTCTACCCACTAGACTATATTTAGGTTAATTCAATTCTGTTGTGTGACATGTCATGAATATGCTACCCCACAGACACAATTACAGACGCACATGCAGAGAAAAGGTGCACTCTATCAAATAATGTAAGCACAGAGACACGCATGCAGCACACACATACACCCACATCGATTGAATAAAAGATGTGTGCATACGCTGAATGCTCCACACAACATTGCGAAGGTTACAAACCAGCAGGGAGCTATTCCCATTTCCCTACTCAATTCCCATTTTCACAGCTCGATTGGCACCTTGCATTCTAAAACCTGTATCACCCTGCCTGCGCTCCTAAGCGCCGCAAAACATGATAACCAGGTCAACACATTCACCACACACTTCCTCTCCCACAGTGAATCACAGGACAAATCACAGACGAGCAAGTCTGTGAGTACACCCACACGCTCTTCTATGGACCAAACCCATCGAGATAAAAGAGGCCACCGTGACAACAAAAATAGAAAAGATTCCCTTTGCATTCCCTGAGGAAAATACAAATGTGACTTCATGTAGGCACACGGGAGTAAAAAAAATGACACAGAGGAACACACCTACACAAACATTTAGCATAATATCTACCTGACTCAAGCACACGCTCACCACTGTATAACCCTTTTTGACCCCTGTCACTTCGAATGCATCAATGCAACGGGACCAGCATTTGTATTTGAGAAAACACTTCTGTCCTGAGACAAAGGTGCCCTCGGAGCAGTGCGGGGACCATACACTTTCCTGAAAACCATTCTGTAAAAAGCAGTCATAATATTATGAGCCTGACAGGTGGACGACTCCGTGTTGATAAAAATACAGACGGCAAAGCATACAAACCACGTCCACAGGGATGGGCTACATGCCCAAAATTACATGGTGCTTTGTAAGGAAAGGTGAAGAAAAGAGGTTTAAACAATGATGTCAACGTGCATCTATCTATCTATCTATCTATCTATCTATCTATCTATCTATCTATCTATCTATCTATCTATCTATCTATCTATCTATCTATCTATCTATCTATCTATCTATACATATATGTGTGTGTGTGTGTGTGTGTGTGTGTGTAATAGGGCTGCCACGATTAGTCGACTAGTCACTATTATGTCATCGTTGATGACTAATTTAATAGCTGACAAGATCCTGAAGGACACAGGAATAAGCAGTAGGATTTAAGAGCGTAATAACAGACTGAAACAGAAGATGGCAGCAATGCATCTACAAGGATGCCCGCTGCTGTTAAATGCCAAAGAAGAAGAAGGAGCTCGGTATCGTAGCTGTGTCCAAATTCAGGGGCTGCATCCTTCGCATTTATAGGCTGATTACGTGACAGTGACGCGAGGAAGGCTGTCAAAATTCGAAGACTCCAACAAATGCATCCTCCTTTTCCGCAGATTTGAAGGATGGGTCGGGTGTATCCTTCGTGGCCCAACCTATCCCAGGATTCATAGCGCGGCCCAGCCAATTCCAATTTCCAACAATTGCGACAGCTACTTAGTTTTAATATTACTCTTATTGCTCTTTCTGGGTCACAAAATAAACTTTTAAGATATTTTCAGGCGAGAATGTAGCTGTGTAAACTTCAAATATCTGCTCAGTTTATCAGGACATCACAAAAGTGCACCGACGTTTTTGGAGACGAGCTGACTGGAAGATTAAGGCTCACTAGAGCCGGTGAGAACACCGGACTCCTAGCAAATCATTTTCAGAACCCCCGCGGTCCTTTGCTATTCAGGTTAAACATGATATATAGGTCACTTCGATAACTTAAAAATGTTATTGTTTGGCTTTTTTCAGATTAAAGTTATAGTTTTCACATGTGCACATGGATGCATGATCTGATTAGTTGACTTATCGCAAAAATAATCGGTGACACTGACAAAATAATTGTTTCTGGCAGCCCTAATTTGTAAATAGAAATATATGTGCTTTGGGTTCACTGTACTCCTTTTTTGAAATGACTGTCCAAGTCATCCAGTCATGAACACAAACATGCATTACCTGATCTGAATTTGTGTCCTACACGCAGCAGTACATGTGTCTAAACTACCTGATAAAACAATGTTTTCTGATGGAAATTAGTCAGTACCTGCTTCTGACGAAGGAACAAAAAGACTGGCTCCGCAGTGTGAACTGGGAGTGTTGAGTGTAAAACAAAATGTAAACATCATCTTACTGAATGACAGCATGTGTCTCCCACCATGGTGTTTACTCCTTTCAGGCTATTAATTCAAATGTCGTTGGTCAAACACAACAGGCGCGGCCAAACAAAACAATAATGAGGCCTGTGTGGAAACACTATTGTGCTGTTTCATGGCCAAAACAGAATCTTCAGATGTCACTTTTCTCTGTTGCATTCAGCTTTATTGATCCCTAACTCAAATCCTCCATTTTCTCTTCTCCCTCCTGGGGCCCTCAGCATATAGGATGATAAACTGCACCCACCTGGATGATTCAGAAATCTTGACACCCAGCTAAGGAAGGTGCTTGCCAACGGGGAATCTTGAACGACCAGCTACCTAGCTTACCTAACATACACACGCACACAAAAATATTTTATCTTCACTTTGTTTTACTACACTGAAACAAGGATGGGGAAAAACATTGATGAGAATGAATAATAAAGAACAGAGCCAGCCCTGGTGATGGTGTGGCCACCGGCATATTGAATTTCCCTGCTCGCTGCTGTCAACGCCAGATACAGTCTTGTCATGCCTACTGGTATCTCTCGTCCTTGCTACGACCTGCTTAGCACACAAATGGAACCTCCTTCCTCCAGAATCATACATGCACATGGATAGACACAAATGCATCCTTGAATCCTGTCCAGATGACCCCCTTAAGCCTTTGTCTGCACATAGCATTGAGCCTCAAGTCTGGATTTGACATTTTAAGAGAATAAAATTGTACGGGGATGCCTAGGGGATTACACAATACTACTGCATTGCTACTCAATTCTGTTTTTATACACCCTGCAGAAGCAGAAACCTCTTTTGCTCATCTGTGGATAACGCATTATCTGTTGCTGCCCATAATGTAGACTTGGTCATAATTCCCTCCACTTGTGGTCCAGTGTTTTTGTCTCTGTGCTCCCCTACATTGTGTCTTTTTGTCTGTAAAAGCATTGCAAGGCTGCTTGCTCAGTACCCACGAGACATCTATTATGTGATTTGTATTCTCTTGACTTTTACATGCGCCTGTTTGTAATTGCACTTGCTACTGGCAGACACTTATGAGTATAGCCCTATTGAGCTGTACAACTTTAGCCTGCAA